GGCGTGGAGATGCGAGGGATCGCAGGCTATGGATGGAAAAGGATGAGTCGGCAAAAGGCGGAATGTCAAGTAAGCAATATAGGGTGCGAGGGCTATCTGTAACAGTGCGCTACTGCAAAACTACCTATATCAGTATTATGGACCTACCTTAAGGTTTGAGACAGGTGATACAGCCTTCCAACTAGAAAACATCGATGGCAGCAATATTCGGGAACTATTAGTTTAAGAAATGTAAGTCAGTTATCCTTTTCAGATAAACTAATACCCTAAGTGCTATAGGATGTATTCATTGATTAATCGATGATCGTAAAACAAAGCTATGATTGTTAAAGTACACTTGCTTTGACGCCACATTTCGCAAACAACAACCAACAATCTAAACTACTAAAGTTTGAAAACTTTGAACAATTCAAAGCAAGAAATCAACAGTTTACCGTAGCGTGTCATTGATACGAGACCTTTCATCGCAAGACCGAGTCTCAAAGTCAATTCCTTGACAGTGTATATCAAGTTTCTAGGTGAACGGTTCACTGCCAATAATGACAAGTAGGTGAAGCAGGCTATAAATAATACTCGAGAGGCATTTGCCTGTAATAAAATGACAATTTCAACTGCGGGACAGCTTAAGATAAGGTTGAAAAATATGTCACTTCAGGCATGTAGGTACTTATGTTTTTAGCCCGTAGGTACACTTTAGTACTTTTAGTTTTTGTTTATCTATTCAAACCTTAACAAAACAAGTGACGATTTTATTATTAAAAACGTGTCACCCATAATGTGTAAGGAAGGATATCAATATAGGGAGGTATAATATTGAGAATTGTTACTCCCAATATGTTTTCAATAGTTAATTACAATCTCATCTGTATCAGCCAATTTAAATACCCAAAAGTGCCTAATAAAAGTTTTACAGGGCGACGAACGATCCGGCGGCTGCTCGCCTTGACCATTGCAAATATAAACTCTCGATTGAATTTCAGTGTGCTAGTTCACGGTCACTGAACATTTTTAGCTAGCCTGGGGTTTCACTTGCGAATTATTTATTTCGGTTCGGCGTCACTGAAAATTCAAAGTTCAACCCTGGTTTGTATTTCAATCAAATCCAAATTAGGTGTCATACATGGCAGTACGTAGTATAACTAGTAGAGTAGTGGCAAATGAAATCGAATAGTTTGTTATAAGTCTTAACAGCAGTCATATTACGATAGCAGAGCGCTTACTTTTCATCAGTTAGTAAATTAGTAGGTAGTATATATAACAAAATAAAAGTGTCTCAAAAACTTACGATTTGTTTTATTTAAAAAACCCATGAATTAGTATATGTATTTATATGTATTCTACGTTTAAGCAAAATTTGTAATTTGTATAAAATCTTAATGATTTATATAATATTGTAATTGTCTTAACTTAAATAAGAATCTGTGTTATCTGATGTTTTTGAACTTAGAATTTTTATCGCTAGCGACATTTTTCACTGTAAAGCAAGGCTGCTCAACCTTTTGAAGAGTCGGGCCAAAGGGTGGATTCAGTCGTTAACGACGGGCCACTACATTTCACATTTCAGTTATTCTCAGGACAAGCGTAAAGAAAAAACTCGAGCGCGGGCCACTTAGAATTCTTTCGCGGGATATACTGTGGCCCGCGGGTCTAGGGTTGAGCAGCCTTGCTGTGAAGCGTTGATTTGCATCATTCACAAACAAAATATCATTTAGGTGGACCCGAACGACCCGAACGGGCCGGAGCTGGAGGTGCGAATGGACGAGCTTCGCGCGAACATTCGACGCTCGGAGACGTCGAAGGCGAAGTACGAGGCGCGGCTGGAGTGCCTGCGCGTGAGCGGCGCGCCGGTGGACGAGTGGCTGAAGGAGGTGGACCTGCTTGCGGTGCAGGATACGCTGCCCCGGAGCAGCAGCCTGCTGAGCGTGCGCACCGACGCTTCTGGGGCCGCCGTGAGTAGTACGATGAAAGCATCATGCTTACATCATCATCATTTGAAAATGAAAATGAAAAAATTTGAAAATGTAATGTTTTATTCAGCGACACAAAACAACATCAAGAAAATGAAAACAAAACTAAGGCCCAGAACAGACGGTGTAACGCAACTGCAACGAAACTGCAAGTTTCTGGTGATTCTGATGAATGAAACTGGAACTGAAAATTTCAAACTGGTCGCGTCATGTGTGGTCTCTCAACGGACGCTATGGCAGAAACTTAGATGCAACTCAAAAGTAACTAGCAGTTGCAGTTTCGTTGCAGTTGCGTTTCACCGTCTGTTCTGGGCATAAAACTAAATAAAGTAGGTAATGTGCGTGTCACCGAAACGGTATTAATGGACACCACGACACTGGTCGTTCGTGGATACTCGAAGAGCAAGAGGCACTGATAGGACGTCCACTGCTGACCATAGGCCTCCCCCAATGATTTCCATTTTGACCGATTGGTAGCGGCCTGCGACCAGCGTCTTCCTGCTACATTTATGATGTCGTCGCTCGACGCTGCGTTTTCAGAGCCTTGCTGCCTGATACATGATGCTTTATTAAACTTGAATATTAACATAAAAAACATAAAATTCTTTACTGATAAAATATGTTATTAATAAAGAGGTTATTGAAACTCCTCAGTCAACACATAACAAGTCTTGTTTGTCTTTTCTGTAAATATTGTGCGGCAAATAGAACCTATGTCGTTCGCAGTTCGCAAACTTTGTTACTTTATTTGTTAATATCAAACTTATTAAAAATCAAATTACCTACACAGAAAACACTAACTTGGTTACGGGCTAAATAATGTAGTTTTCAAGAAATTATGTCTAGCATTTATTGATTATTTCAAATGCAATCGTGTTCCAAAAGCAACAATATTAAAAAAGACAAACATATTAGATACATTGATTTTACACCTAAAACAATACTGTAAACACTTGCAAAATTATTTTTTCCCCTGCTTCTGTTCTTCCGCGTAGGACCAACCAAGCTCCGACTCGTTCTACGACAGCGACAACACGGAGGGCGAAGCCGCCACGTCTGCCGGGCCAACCGGGACCGGCCACCAGCGCACCACCTCCGGCTCTTCGCAGCAGGATGACGATCGTGAAGATGAAGTAGATGGTAATCCAAGTAAATGTTGTTCCTTACTTTAACATTCTAGTTTATTCCATATAGGACCAACCGTGCTCCGACAGTGACAACATAGAGAACGAAGCCGCCACATCAGCCTAGCAATAATAATAATCTAAACCATTTTTGATGGGTTAACTTTAGGCATTTCAGGTCACACTTCACTTGCAGCTGCTTCATCATCAGCTGCAGCTGCTTCATCATGGACTCAAATCAAAAAGATCATTTTTGATTTGAGTCCATGCTGGTATCATCAGCATGTAATTCTCAGTCGTGCAGAAGAAGATGAGTAGTTTAAAAGAATCCCGATCGCCAATGTTCCAGCTCCATAAAACTGAGTTGTTATTATTTATTTTGCACCTCTCACCTCTAAATATCGAAAGTAATCAGAACTGACTTGCTGATAAATTGCCCGCTTTGTATCATACCTACGCCACTAAAACCATAACCCGTGAACCGGCACTTGAAACTAGCGTAGTTATAATATAAAGTTAACATGCTGGGAACTCTGCAAGTTTGCTTGAGGTGTGAAAAGTAAACACTCGAGAGTCGGTGTCTGCCGACCTAACTTGGGGCTGCTTGAAGACAAGTTCTTGCCAGGCAAAAGGTCGCGACAAGAGGTCACTAGACCTCAACAGAAGCCAAGTTTGTCGTGCCAGCATTTGCAATGGAACCTCAATGCTGCGATGTTTACGGACCTACCGGAATTTGAAACAGCAGTCGTTGGCAACTTCAGCATAGATTTACAGTTTCACTTAGTAATTTTTTGTTTTATTTCACCATGTTCAAATTTATAAATAAGTAACGCTGTGGTTTTACTTAAAAAGTTTTACGGACTATACTCTGTATCAATAGAGATGAGCGTAATTGATTCTTCGTGTTAGTGCTAAAAATGCTCCTCGCGCAGTCAAATGTACCAATGGGATTCTAATCAAAATAGTTAACCGTCGATTTATTTTTAGCAATGAACGAGCCATTAAAGAAAAATACTTTAATGTGCGGATTANGACCACCCTAGTGCGGATATAAGAAAATATATTGAACTTTAAACAGATTTGCCTTGAAAGCAACTTTGAAACTTAAATTAGTTTCTCGCGAAAGCTGTGGGTGGATTTCAGAAGATTAAATACTTAACACTTTCATCAACTTACAAGTACAAGTATGTAGGTATCGTTGATTCAATATTTTATTGCAACGATAATATCTTCATTTATTTCATCGGCCCTGACATGCATTATTTTAATTATAACATTGCTTACACGAGGCTATATTAAATTAACATTTCCGATCGTCAACTGGACATTATAAACAGCTGTTGCTTTTAAATATTCCGTTTATAGCCTGACCAGGAACATAAAAACCCTCGCCATGTTGCGGAAAACTAATGGTACTAATTTCTTTTAATGGCAACAGTAACTGAAAACTTCATTGACATGTCACCTTGCATGTCAGTCTATTGTTGTCAAAGTGTAAACAAACTTTATTTTAAATGTTTGCAATTGATTTTGTGAATTAAATTGCTGAAATATTTTTATAGTCGTGAAAGAAAAGTGGTTCACGGTGTGTTAATGTATTTGTCGAAGAGAAATACTAAGGGTTCGGACAATATTTTCATTGAATAATGTTTCCGACAAAGGTTGTCAAATTGACTGACATGTTTATCGTATAGTACAGTCCACTAGGAAAATTAGCTGTAGTCTGTTTCAACTACTTATTTTAATGTTTTTTGTCAATTTCTAAGTTTTGAATTTTATGGAATTGGGAAAGAAGTACCGAGTTTGAAGGGTTCATGAGCAGACATTGCAGTTGAATATTCAAGTTCTGAATTTGATTATTGATGAATAATAAAATAATAAATCCTACTAGCTCGATTGATGGTTTCATTTAATTTATTTAAACCAGGTTACCTTTAATAATATTTTTCGTTAATTTATGAAAATATCAAATTAGCCCGTAATCCTGAATCCTGATACATAAATTTAGCCTATTAATTTAACACATGTACGACTGTACTCAGTGTTGCACTATCAAATGCAATTGAAGCGCCTCTATGCCAGGGTTTTTATGTTCCTGGTCAGGCTATACATTCCATTTTATCAATCAATCGAGCACCTTAGTGACAGCTCTGAAACGTACAAAGCCCTGTCACTTCTAGCCACAAGTGCTTTACGTATCCGCCTCCTATAATTTATTTATTATTAATATGAAATGAAATTCTTTCTCCATAGAAAGAAATCTTTCTCCATAGAAAGAATTTCATTTCATATTATTATTCTTAGAACCAGATTCTATAATCTGGTTATAAAAATAATATTTCTTTGATAAGGGTTATAATATTACGATCGTTCCACGAAATTAAACTCGCGAGCTTTGCCGCGCGCGATTATCACAATTTGTCGTTTTAACCTATAATGGGTGTTATAAGTTTGGCATCTGTGTTTTAGGACTGTCCGTGGCATAAAAGCTCCTAAATGGACTTTGATAATTTTTTTAAAGTAAAAAAATATCACCTTGGCCTTTTAACTCAAATAACTAGTCAGAAAATAGATGAACGCGTTTCCAGCTTCTTAGCAGTCCCTCAACGCGGCTATATTATTAAAAAAAGACAGAGATTTACGGAACGCTAGTTCGATCGATCTCCGTCGACCGCTGCCTCACTCTGAGCAAAAATCATAATATTTTGATTACTTAGACGGGTTAGCAGGGATATCAGTAATTACTTTAACTAGTTAGCCTTTAAAAATACCAGGGACAAATTTAAAAGGATTTTCAGGTCGGGATATTTTAAAATTCTGTGATAATTGGATACGCGCAAAGCGGACAAAGCCAAATGCAGGGTGAAATTTGTATCGGATTAGTACCTTTGACACTGATTGTAAATGGATGTTCAGACTTTTCCAGACTATCCGCCCAAAATCCAAAAGCAGCATTGACATGACTCTATTAGAGCAAACAAAATACGAGTAGTATCACATTTTTAATATCCTATCTTGTTTGTTTTCTGCCTTCTATAAAAATAATTTAAAACTCCTGAGGCTGTCGTATTTTACAAGTAGAATTTCATCCCCGAGATGTTATTTACAATAAAAATACTTGCTCGTTGTAGCAAAAATTAAATATGTAGACTGTAGGCTTCGATCAACTTTTGAAAACCCTTAAGGCATATTTAGTGAGATAGAAATAGAAGAATGAATAGTGACGTATTTTCTTTTCACAAAATTGTTCCACAATACTTAGTGTAGTTTATTATTATTTAGATGATTATACCTACCTAACGGTGACCACTCAGTTTGAAGTTACAGCAGGAAGTAAAAATGGCCGATAATTCACATTCGTTTGCGAACCGATCATTGCTCGTGTTGGTACGCTGAATAACTGTTTATAAGAAAAATAATAATCATGACAATAGTGAGGGACAGGGGTACTTATTTGGCTTCGAAATTTACCATCCAGGATACAGCAGCTCATTCCTTTCGGGTGTCCAATAGTAGGACCAACGGGATGACATTACTAGCGTGTCCCTGGCGAATTTTTAACAACTTTTTTACAACTAACAAATAAATCGACATATAAATAAATCAATAAATTAATGAAATAAAAAAAAATTGCCTTCGAACCATAATGGTAGGGGATTGGCGCCTACTAAAACGCTCATATCGTATATCAGTGACTACATTTTAAGATCGTCTCTTTCATAATCTCATAATATCGTAATAATTATTTCATTTAATTTTTCATACAAACATATTTGCGATTTTTAGATAAATAAATATGCATTTTATGAAATTTTGTGGATTTATTGGATACTAGTTATAGAAAGAAATTGAAAATTGATTATTGTAAAAAGATATTCAGATTAACTGTAACGGAAACGGACACCACTTATGACGAACGTTTTTGACGATTTATTTCTATTAAAAAAAAATATCATTTTTGTGATTATAACTCCTTGAAATGAAGTTTTAAAAAATAATAATACTGGACTTGGCTATTTTAGGAAAAAAAAGGGGAATTTTATACTTTTTCCCCTATTATACAGGGTGTTGATTTCAATACTCGCCATATTTAGGGAATTGATTAAGTAGCTTATTCTGATCACGAATCAGTAAAAAAAATCTACTTCGAAAAAAATGTAAAACAAACTTTAACTTTAGTTAGTCAAAGAAAAATACCTATTTACAACTTTACATGACTTCCTTCAGTAGGCTATCGACATGATAAGCGAGCGATAGTAGCTCGCGTAGCTCGATAGTGCCGCAGTGTAAACTATTGCAGTATTGCGAGCACGGTACAGTTAATTTGAACAGAAAATATTCGCTATAAATTCCACTTTTGTTTGTAATTTTGTTTTTGGTGGATAATTCGTTTGTATAAGTCATAATAGATCACCTAAATGAATATGGCGAGGATTGAAATCAACACTCTATAAAGGGTGTTAGGTAAATGGGTATATGAGCCGACACTAGCCCATGTTAACATGGTCATATAAATGGTATGGTGAAGTCAGAAAATTGATATCTTCATTTTAATTATTTTAATTTTCATTGAAAAGGCTCATATACCCATTTACCTAACACCCTGTATAATCTTCCTAACAGACTTGGAAGAAGAACGCAAGCGCATGGAGCAACTGTCCGGAGGCTGGGACGACCCCACGCAGGTCAATTGGGACGAGGCGGAGGCGGACATCGCAACCACGTCCGGGACGGTCGAGCCACCCGCCGCTCCGCTGTACAAATGCACTGCACTGTACTCATATACAGTAAGTAGCTTTATTTCAGGGATGTTATGGATATCCGTAACCGAAACCGAAACTTTCGGATATTCGAAATAATAAAATATCCGAAACCGTAACCGATTCACAAGTTTCGGATAATATCGGATGTAGCCAGTTTAAAAATAGTTTTTTGTATATCATTAATGTTGAGGCATAACAGCCTGATTTACCTTTATAATGCCATCTAGTAGGTATCAATTTTTATTTTTTTTATTACTTTTTATTCGATGTAAAGTGTGCGGCCATGAATGAACCGCGTTGGACAACTATTGCAAATTGCATTCTAAAGCACAGATATCCGTAACCGTAACCGAAACTTTCGGATATCCGAAATAAAAAAATATCCGTAACCGTAACCGAAACCGGTATAATAATATTCCTATATCCGTAACCGCATTCATAACCGAAACTACTCATACAAATCCATAACATCCCCACTTTATTTGTTGTTTAACATACATCTTCTTTCGTTCGTTTGTTTCAGCCGAATGACGTCCACTGCTGGACAAAGGCCTCCCTCAAGGATTTCCACAAAGACCGGTCCTACGCCGCCTGCATCCAGGCACCTCCCGTCTCCCTTCTTAAAATCCCTTATCCACAATTCCACTAGCATACCTAACTCAAAATAGAATAGCAGCCTATTTCAATTATGTATCTAAATGTGAGCCAATCACTTATTTAAATCGAACCCTCAACTTAGTTTCAAACTTCTCCAACTTTGTATAACTGGACCTATTGATCGACCTTGACTGCAGTGCATTGGTCTCTCGAATGCCAGCCGTCTATTCATAGCCCAGTTCGTTGGTCTGACACTGAAATGTCTGTAACTTAAGTCACAATAAACTCATATGGAGTAGGCTAGGCTACATTCACACACGGAGCTTGGCACTAATATAATTAGGCCGCGAAATGAGCATGTGAATGGAATATTTTTTACATTTAAAAAAGAAATGTAATTATTTTTTTCATTTAAAAAGTCCGAACCAAGAAGTTATAAAATGCTCAAGTACTGAGAAATGTCGTATTATTTGTACCTACCAAGTAAGATGGGACCAATGCTAAAGTACCTTCTAAGAAATGCACTATAAATATAAAACCTGCACCAGTTTAGCCTTTTAATTTAATTTGGTGAGAACGTGAGACCTCTTGAGCAAGTAACACAATACATATTTTGTAACAGATTTAACTTAGTGACAAATTCTACTGTTAATATCATAGTGAGGAAGGCTCTACTGAACGGGCCGTATCGTTTGCGATACGATACATATCGATACAAGTAGCAGTATTTCCTCCTCATCCCGTTACGCGTTGCGACCACATTTTCATAGTGACATTTACTTTTTCATTTTTCAATCACAAGTCGCCACCTGCGAGTGAAGTGCGTGGACTTTTCAAAATAACGTACGAGTAGCATGCATGTTGTCTTGCACTTTATTGCCAAGTGATTCAGCAGCTATTTGTTGCTAGGCAGTGCCGATTCTATTTTTTTACTCATTTAATTTATTTGGGAAGTCAACGGCGATAAATTACTGGTAATAATATGCATTAGTAATGAATAAAACTGATGAAACTTACAGCTAATTACAGATTTCCACAGAATAACATTTGAAAATAATAAGGAAATTATTTTACTAGTTGTGTATTTGTTACGGTCAAGCTGTAGATCCTGTATTTACTGGAGTCCCTACGATAGGAAAGAGAGGGAAGATTAGTCCTATAAGTCAATGGACTTCAAAGTCACATTGAGTAGGTACCTATTGGTAGTCCGAACCCCGGATCTTTTCAGAAACAAGCCATTGATCCGCTATATCCAAGCATATTACATTCTTTAACCCTTTTGGGTTACGGTAATTCCATAAATGAGCGCAATGAGCTTACTGCGCGATGTTTATTGTTCTGTCTGCATTTGGCTCGGTAAATCGTAAACTAATATGAGGGCAGCGGAACCTTGATACTGAAACGATGTAGGTAACTATTGCTCATTGGAAATGCATTGTGATGGGTTATTTTGTTAGCGATACAGTTGTTATGAATCATACCAGTAACGTTATAGACACGAAAATTATGTGGATGAAGTTATTTATGAATTTTGCGTTTTTGTAGTGTAAGTGGATCGCGGTTATGAAAATATGTGAATGAATTCCGTAAACTTCTTTAATTGGTTATTTGCGTGATCAACGTCGTTAAAACAGTGATTTCTAGCTTCCCTAAATGTTATCAGAGGCTTTCATTGGATGTCACCTACCTATTCCTCCATATTGCGCTCATAGAACAATGTTTTCGTGGTTTAGTGGACATACCATGCCATTTCATAAGTTGTTCTTATGAAATACAGGATGTCAAGTATTTTTCTGTTACAAGCTGAAATTCACGCGAGGGAAGCCGCGTCACAATGGCGGATTACCACGTATGCCGCCTGTAGGCTTTTCATCCCCCCTCCTAAATCCTCTACAATCCGAGTTGTTTTAAACATTTGTAATTTTATTCTCAAAGTAACCACGCCCTAGACTCCAGCTTACTTAGGCTGGGTTGCACCATCGTACTTTAACTTTGACAAAGGTCAAAAATCTGTCAAATTCCATACAAAAAGCACCGGTTATCGTCATAGTTACGGTCAAAGTTAGTGGTGCAACTCAGCCTTAGTGTACCTGTAACACTTCCATTTGGCTATCAGGCTCAGAACCCAGACGAGCTGTCGATCATCGAGAGCGAGCAACTAGAGGTGGTGGGAGAAGGCGACGGCGACGGCTGGTTGCGCGCGCGCAACTACCGCGGCGAGGAAGGCTACGTGCCGCACAACTATCTCGACGTCGACAGGGAGGAGCAGGTATATGTATGTACATTGTACAGCTTATGAACGTTTATTTTGTATAGTCTGGTCTGCGAGCACGTAGAATTTTGTCCAATGACCCCAAGCTACCCGGTAGCTACTCACAGCTCACAGACCGGGCTTTAGTATGGTGTTAACGAAACGTTGTTACGAGACGTTAAGAAAGATACGCGAACTAGTGAAAAATATTTTTTTAGTCGTTAGTGCTAAGATAAACTTTACAGGATGAACTAAGATCTACTGGGAAGCGAGGACGAAAAACATTAAATATCAATAATATGCCCACATGTTCTATAAATGCACGTAAACTGCTTTTGTCACAGTAAGAAAAATATAGAAGAAGCGAAATAGATTTCCACGAAAAACCTTCACAGGAGTATGTGAGAGCTCCTATAATAAAAATAATTCAACAATTAACTGCTATGACGTAACGCGTTGTTACTACGCCGTAGTAGTACGGAGAAGTCGTAGTAAATATACGAGTATGCTACGCGATGCCGTAGCACTCGTAGATTTGGTAAACAAAAAGTTTTCAGTTCGAGTTTGGTGAACCTGAAAATAAATTTAACTGTTACGTTACGCTATTATACAAGTTACGATCTTTACGTAGTGCTACATATTAATCCTGATCGATATAATATGGTAATCTTATCCTTCCTGCTTCCTACTAATGTGTGCGAAATGCGAAAGTTTGTATGGATGTTTGGATGTTAAAATGTATGTTACTATTTGACTCAAAAACTGAACGGATTTTGATAGAACTTTACAGTATTATTGTTTATAACCCAGAATAACATATCTATACTAGTCTATATGTATACTAATATTATAAATGCGAAAGTAACTCTGTCTGTCTGTCCGTCTTGCTTTCACGCCTAAACCACTGAACCGATTTTGACGAAATTTGGCATAGAGATAGTTTAAGTCCCGGGAAAGGACATAGGATAGTTTTTATCTCAGTTTTTGAAACAGAGACGCGCGCGATAACGTTTTTCTGTGACAGATAAAATTCCACGCGGGCGAAGCCGCAGGCGTAAAGCTAGTAGGCTATAATTTATGACGATCTGTGACAAACTAAATTTCACGCGGGTGATGCCGCGGGCAAAAGTTAGGCTGGGTTGCACCAGTTGCACCATCTTACTATAACTTTGACAAACGTCAAAAATCTGTCAAACTGCATACAAAAAGCACCGGTTATTTTATTGTTACGGTTAAAATACGGTGGTGCAACTCAGCCTTAGTCTTTTATACATTCGTTAACCCAGTATTTTTTAGGCCTCAACCTCTGGCCCGGGCCTGGTCGCCCAGATATCGTTCTCGTCGGTCGACTACACGGTGGAGGGCGAAGACGCCGACGTGGTCCAGTCTCCGGACCAGATCTCCGTGATCTCGGCCCCCGTGGCCAAGCCCGAAGAGCCGAAGGCCGAGGAGCCGGTGGTCGAGGAGCCGAAGCCCGAGCCCGAGCCGCCGAGGGTCGAAGGACCGACCCTGGGGTACTGCTTCGCTCTCTACGATTATGAGTCCGAGGCCGCAGACGAACTCAGCTTGGAAGAAGGATCGGTAAGTGCCAATTTCTAGAACATTTTTAAGTTTGATTGGTTTTATTAAATTGGGATACCTATTCATACCCCCTTTCCTCCAAGATTTTCATATTGTAACTTCTTTAGTTATCTTGGAAATTCTTTATATTGATCACAATTAAACACAAATTAAAATTTGTGCGGTAATTAGAAAAAAAAAACACATTACAAAAAGTAAGCAGCTTTCCAAATAAAGAACATCGTAATATTTTCATATTCCCGGTAATCTGAATAAATTGACAAAATATTGACGATATTTTGTAGATAGTACCAACGTAATAACACCAAATTACTACCCGCAACAACCTAAAATTATGGCATGTACTTAAATAAACACAAACAAAAGTTGGTAACGAGGAATTTCAGTGAACAAAATTGTAATTGGGAATGTCTAGGAGCCTAATTTGATGGTTGACAATAATGCGATCCTGGCATGTAGATAATCCGCGTGACATCGCGCGATGCCCACGGCGTGGACGATGGCTGGTGGCGCGGGGAGGTCAACGGGATCTTCGGCAACTTCCCCTCGCTCATCGTGGAGGAGTGTGATGAGGTAAGCCATCATCATCGTCATCATTCACCCAGCCACATTCCACTTCTGAATGTAATCCTACCTCAAGGAACTCTACAAACTACAGTAGGTACGTGGTAGGCGCCCTGCGTTTGCGGAGTACAGAGATCGGGATCATCATCACCATCAGTGCTTTATTTATAGTACATAGTACAGGGTGCAGATGATATTCTTGGAGAAGAACTATAGAAAAAAGAAAGCTCAGTCAAACATCTTAAAAAGAACAATGTCAGCAAAAATCATTCATACGCTTTGGCATTACTTACGTTAATTTTGGGTTTTATCTCATACCAGAAGCAGTCAAGATAAGAAAGTGTGTGTATTTACTTCATCATAGGATATTCTGCTCGTCCACTGTCTTAGTAACATCACATCAATAAAGCGAGCAACCGTTGTGATTTGTACAGATAACTTCGTTATCACAAAGTAAAACGTTTCCAGGAACTTCCTATAGGCTGACGTCTGAAATTATATTTCTATGAAATACAGACCAAAATAACATTTTCTGTAACATCCGCACGTTGATAGAATCAAGCCAACGCAAACAAGTTTAGGCTGTGCCGCTGTTTCCGGCGGAAGGACTTCTGCAAATCTCGTCCACTTTTACCAGAACGATTTCCTTTCTGCAACTGTTCTATTTGTGATAGATTTAAAATTAATGTCATATGTTTCATCGTACCTTTTTGTTTCAACTATACCTGAAGTCGTATGTCAATGGGTGATTTTGTTACAGCAAAATAATGGATTTGCTACAAGTAGTCATAAATCATCCGATCATTTGGTCATCCGTTCATGGTAATAAACACTTATCAATTCTTTAGGCTAACTAAATGAAGCTGAAATAGGTGAGTATGTAGTTTCATGAATGACATCCAGCAGGAATGTCCTGTTACAGATTTTAATGGGACTAACTAGTTTCCAATACCGATGCTTCGTTACGTGCCGAGTTAGAAGTCTAGTTCGCAGTTAGCGGCAGGATGCGTGGTTGACTCGTCTACAAGTTATCAGACGTTATAGACAAGTTTGAACGTGTTAGTGGACAGCAGCGGGAACTTTATGCAGTATGCAAATCAAGTAACTCGAAGCTTGTTACTGATTCTGCGAAACTACATTCACTGTTATCTCGGTTTAATTAACTGAACTAACATCTAGACAGTTCTTATAACTTGAATAAGCTTCCATGTTGATACTTTAATGAGATGTTTCATTGATAAAATGATTTATATGAACGGTACGTGTTTCTCCCTCTTCACTAATTTAACTAATTTGCCAACTCAACTGACTAACTTTATTTATATCAATTCAAAGCAAATAAAAACCTCTTAACTTTGTATACAAAATGGCAATATCATAGGTAAGCCTGGTAGTAACTTATGCAAATAGGTAGATATCCTTCTAAATCCATAACATCCGCGTTTTTCCCTATTAGGTACCTACTACCTTCCGTGTGCTAACGCATTATTATGACTTTAGAGCGGCGAGCCGCTGAGCATCGGCGAAGAAGATTGGACCCCGCCGGGTTCCGCCCCGCCGGTATTCTCGTCGCCACCTGGCTCCCCGCCGAACGCCGGTTTCGATGATGAAAGTAAGTATAAAATATGAACTCCTGACCACGTTCTTCTGTATCGCACCCTGTCACTGTCTGCTGCAGATGTTTTTGGTACTTTTTCTAACTCTACTTTTTAAAACTTTCAAAGTATTTGAAATAAAATGCCTGCATGTTTTTCCGATTGTCCATCGCACCGCGGCATCGGTAGGATGAAAATTTCAGCGCAACGATTGTTTCATTTCCGAATACTGACACCGCGCCGGGCCGATTTCAAATCGGAAAACGTTCGTGGACTTTTTGCCGTACTGCATACAAACTTTACAAAATCGAAGATCGCGTGACGAGGTATCTAGTGGTCAATGAACTTTAGTACTACATTCCTGCTCAATTAGAGGAACTTTTAACAACCTTGCTAACAGCTGAGTTAACTGAAGAGAAAACAGCTTAGAACTTATAAAATCATAGAGATGGAATAAAAAATATGTAAAACACGGATTGTTCAAGATCAAGATTGATGAGATTTTAAAAAAGTGTTGAAAGATTTATAGAAATTCAGTTTGGCATGCATTACCCGTTTTTAGTAATAATAGTTTTTAGTGAAAGGATTTTAACAAGCGATTTATTAATATTGTGTGAATAAATTGAAATATTTTGAAAGTTACTATCTTTAAAGATCTTTTAATGACTCGTTATTTGTATGTTGACCAAAAATATCTGCCTTTCTGAGTTATGTCTTGTCTTTCTGTTTTGTACGTGTAATACAGCGCTCGTTTGGACCAAACTGTCTTTAAAAAACATTTTATGATCACAGAAAAGGTAATATAAAATCTATGCCATATTCTCATATAATTAATATGTATTTATAAAAAAAAGTGTATGTGTAGTAATCCGTTAAGCTTACACCCATAACACAAGCATATTAATTGCTTACTTTGGGGCTAGATAGCGCTGTGTGATATTGCTCAAAGATATTTATTTTATTCATTTATAATTGTCGAATTTAGACGTCCCTTTTATCTAAAAATAGGCCTTGAATTAAGTCATTTATAAAAATTTTACCTTTCACTAGTGACGTCATAAAAAGACATAAAGATAACCAATCAAAAAATATGCCTACTACAATGACCGTTTGGTTTAAACGCGCGCAATATACTCGTAGTGATAATGTGCGGTTGTCTCACGTCACGCGTCATAGTAAGCTTTTTGGCTGATTGGGTAATTGTTGTGATTTCTTCCCAATTGGCATGGTATCCGCAGACTAAGGGAATGGCACTGTACCAGTATCGCGCTAGTGTGGCTAGGGTAGGACCTCACGTTCAACTTCTGCATGACTACTGCACGATTACCTTTGATAGATAAACTTTCGAAAATACCGCAGTCTCCAAACCTCGATTTTGTTGCACTCTTACCATAACCACGTGTGAGTCAGACAACTTAACATTGACATTGAGTGTGCCAAAATTGAAGTCCTAAATATGACTAAGTAATACCTACTCTTTCACCACCTGTCATATTTTCATAAATTTTTAAAATCTTTATCTTTCTATTTTAATCTGATTGTACTGTTACTTTATTTTTACCAATCTACGAATGGAAATTGTATGATAACCTTACATTATGTCTTACTGTGATCTATGTTTATGTACTATCTATTAAATGTGTCTAACTCACAGCTCAATTTCTGTCTCCAGCACAAAGTCTGTGATAACAAAATGTATTTTATTCGTGTTTCTATTCGTCTGACGGTATTTAATGTTACGTGTAAATGTTTGTGTCGTAAGGCAAGCGATTGATTAATGGTGCATGCGGGCGCAGCTCCCTCAACTATGTTGGATCGGCGTTCGATTGAGGCGTCGCATCTGCCGTCTCGCCGACATTATCCGCGCTCAATTTGCTGATATTTTCACGTATGATTTCGTAGAGGTAAAAGTAAATAACGTTTAACGGCTAAGTATTTAGATACGTTCCAGTACCTAGTCCTGGTAGATAGATAGTAGCTTATTGTTGCAATGAAAATTCTTAGGAGTAATATAGGTTAGTTAAACAAAGTTTTTATTGTAACGTAGAACGTAGATAATTTTCAACGATGCTTAAGTAAACACACAAAAAATCTGATTTCCAAATCAAGAACCTTTTATGTGAACATAATAGAGTAAAAATAGGATAAGTCTCTTCGAAACTTGCGTCTATTTCAAAGGAAAACAACAAGGAGCCTATTAATATTCTGTCGCTAGCAATGACTAGCTCTACAAGCCCAACGCATGATCGATGACTGTATGTGAGCATCGGCAATATGATATAATAGGCCTGATACCTCGCCAGTGAATTAACCTGAAATCGATGCAATATATCCCTCAAGCTACGGTAGTCATTTAGACATCAGCTAGCAGCTAGTAATTTCTCAATTAGAACTCAAATTACAACAAAGAAAGAGTCTAAAGAGGGCTCGTTACCTCGTTCGTTTTTACGCTTGACGTCTTAAGACGATTAATTCAGCGTTGAGGAGGATGCAAGTGTTGAGAAGAATGCGAAATAAGAATAAATCAACTTGAATTGTAGGTAGGTACATAAGTATCATTTGGCGACTTGCGACTGGTGATACATATTAATAAAAACTTTCCATCATAGAACAGTCTTGAAACATAAAAGACTGCGCTGAATAATGAATGGTTCATTAGCCGGGAAAGCAATTAGTACTGATTGCAGACTTTTCTGTAAGCAATAATTCACTCAAGGGCTTAGACTAAATTAGATTTTCCGTCGATCCTCGGGAATATCCCAAGGGTTCCATAAATACAGCAACCCTGACCAATAAAGGCTGCGATCTTTATAAAAGCCAATAAACTTGAGACGGAAAATCAAAAGCCATTTTAAAACTAGAACAGAGGAGAGCACTAAAGCGCTTCAATCAAATACGCCCGCGGTTTAGTATAATATTAGTTTAAAGTACGCGACAATTCTTGGTTCGGTTTCGTCCCGGTGTAATAGGGTTTAATATTTTGCGTCTTCTTTCTATTTGCGTATTCCTACTTTCAATGAATAATGTACTGGCGTGCTGTGTAAATTTAACTCATATTATCGACACATAGATTGCTACAGCCTATACGATAGAAGGCAAAATGAAAAGGTTAAATCGTAGAAGATCTATTTAAAGTACGCGAAAGAAAGTACCTGTCCATAGGTATCCCAATGTCGACTAAGACATGACAGACAATTAGACTCAAACAACTTGTTCGACCTTACAAAGCTTAGAATATTCATACTTAACTGTAATTGAGCAAAAGGAATACCCAATGAACCGGTTAAGCTGTCTGTCAAGTGACATAGGTTATTACTTTAGATACTAATATGATTACCTACTGGGGAACCCCTTTACGTAAGAATTACCCTTCATATGTACCTGCAATCATCATCATCAATAAATTAGCGGGAGGAACCGCTAGACCTTTGATGTCGATCAATGTTATGTCGTGTGCTTAAATCCTCTGTCTTGTCTACGCACGCACTTAACCAATACCTAGGACCAAGACAATTGAAGGTTACGTCGCGGAAACCTACGAAGGTTTTTTGAAAAGGTCATCTACTAGTATCTACCTACATGCAAAAGCTTTACCAGTTTTCTTTCTATTTCGATAAGAGACTTACTTACTCGTTTCATTTCTAAATCTAAAATTGAAAGTGTAAAAGCCGACGCTGTTTTCAGTAGCTTGTTAACCGAAGCCTCAGAAATGCAAGTTAAATTGGCGATAAATTTCGCGATTCAACATAATTGATCGCTGCGCTTGTATGTAAATGTGAACGGTGGTGTGTGCCGTCCCGGTGACGGGTGTAATTGTTGTCCGGCTGCAGTGGTGGTGGAGAACAACAACACTAAGAGCGCGGCGCCGCCCGCGGCCCCGCCGCCGCCGCCGCCCGCCGACGCCGACGCCGACGTGTCGGGCCCCAGCCAGGCCGAGCTGGCCGAGCTCGCGGAGTTCAGCTTTAATTTAGAGCTCACTAGGAACCAGCACGAGCAGTATGGAACCCAGTTCTCGCTGGTCGGACCGCCGACCATCGTCGCGCCGTCTGTCACTATTGTGGGTAAGTTAGGTGGTTGGTTACGAATTTTATCTTAAGACTTAATTCAAATAATTATTGTTTGTACTTACTTACAATTTAGTCACGTGAGAAAATGAGCTGAAACAGAGGTTATGCAATCGGTAATCTCTTTTGCATTTTGAAATGTTAATTAGACTGATATTCTAATTAAAGTTTTAATTACGTTTGGAAATAAGTGAATAGCCGTTTAATTATTGTAATATTCCATACATTATTGGTTCAAATATTGGAAATGCTGTCCTTGTTATGTCAGTAATAGTGTACCTACTTGATTAATTTGATAAGCATTTTAATGAACAAACGTTTTAATTAATATTGCAGCTAAAAGCTAGAGAACTGTTAACGTAATTAGGTATTTTGTAGTTGAGTTAACAATAATTGGTCGGATTGAACGCGATTAACACATTTGAAAGCTATCAATGAATTTATTATGTGATTTCAAATGTTTATTTATGTTTCACATTTATGAAAATAAAGTACCTACATGTTAAGTTCACGTTATTAAATAATGTTTTATAGTCTGACTTATTATTGTATTACGAAATGTAGTTACGAGTATTTTCCATTACAGATTTAACTTTTTTCTTGCTTTTAGCCCATACAAATTGTAATGTTCATATTAATCCACTATGAATTCTTTTCCATGCATCAGTCGACGAGGTTGTCGGTGAAAATTTATCAGACGAGGTTTGATTCTTATCACAAAATTACTATTATTGTCGTTTCTGTACAGTAGGTGTGCTTTGTTGTCGCTTTTGTAAATAGATACTATAAATACGCTTCTTGCTGTCCTTTGATTTACATGCTTCAAGGGTGCTTTAGAATGAGGATCAGTACTGTTGTAGAAAATTCAATAAAACTAGTATCTACGTTAATCTTTAAGACATAAGAAAGATATATCTTTTTGAATTATCCAAATCGGACCATTACTTACGAAGATATTAAGTAATAAACATAGGCCGTTTTTGCCGCTAAAAGTCAACGTACGCAAGGCCGCGTGACGTCATTATATCCGAATCGAGCGCAGCGGCGTACTAATGGGATGGAAAATATTTTTTTCCGGCTAAACTATCAGTTTTAAAAAAAAACTTTTAATAACATTTATTCTTCAAAATAAAGTAACCTATCGACCAGTAATTTTTAAAAATAAAAATTGTGAACTTGGAAGAAGATATGACTCTAACAACACTTATGTACACTTTATTTGAATAAATCGCCAAATATACCACCGCGGAGACCCCAATCGCGTCTCTGCGTGCCATTGAATCGTATGAGCGTATGGATTTTTTGCGTTATTTTTCACAATTTCCATTTTTAAAAATTACCTATCGATAGCTTACTTTATTCTGATGAATAAATGTCATTACAAGTTTTTCTCTAAAACTGATAATTTGGCTAGAAAAAAATATTTTCTATCCACGCAGTACGCCGGCAGCGTTCGGATCGGATATAATGACGTCATCGTCCCCGCGCCGGGCGGTCAGTGAACTTTTTTAGTAATTTGGCCATAACTTCGTCAATTTTTGTCGTAGAACAAAAATTTTTGCACTGTGTATTAAGGATTTCTTAGCCCTATAAATCTGCATTCACAGCTAAAAATCGAAATGATCCTCATTACAGGACTGACTCGACCGCAGAAAAAACATGGATGTAAATTTACTTTTAAGGTGGTAGAAGAAAATGAAAAGAACAATAATGCATAGACACGTAGGTATTTACTGGCAACACTACCCCTGATGATTTCCCGTTATGTTTTGTTCAGCATATAGTTCACATCATCATATGCATGCCGCTTGTCGAAATGCATGATAGGATAGGTCCAAATGTGAAAGTCAAGTTTATTTGAGTCCCGCTCTGCGTCCTGATTATAAAGAAGCACTCACCTGTGTATCCGCATTACTGGAGATGATAACCCCGATGGTTGGTAAAGTGTGTTGTGTGCTTTAGGAAGAAGAGGTGCCGGCGCCGGCGCCGCCGCCGAGCAAGCCTGCGCCGCCCAAGGTTGAGTTGCCGGCGGAGGACTGCGGGCTGGGCGTGGCGCAGATCGTCATCACCGCCGCCACGCCCATGGTGGAGGAGCCGGAGCAGCCCTTCCCGCCGCCGGAGCCCGAGCCGGAGCCGGAGCGCCAGGACGACGCCGAGCGCTCGGAGGACGTGGACGACGAGGAGTCCTCGCTGTCGGAGCAGACCGCCGTCTGCCTGCGCGACTCCGACGAGGGCCCCGCCGACTCCACGCCGCACCCCGCGTCCAGCTCCACGGGCTCCGAGGCCTCGGGGCCGCCCACGGCGCCGCAGTCCCCGCCCGCGGCGCCGCGCGGCGGCCGCGCCTCCATCCCCGACGAGCTGGAGCCCGCGCAGCTGGCGCGGCTCACCGACCTCAAGGAGTCCAACGCCTAGGCCACCTGCCCTCGCCAGTCACCCTCGGGTAGCCGCTCGGAGCCCGCCTCTGGCCGTCTATCGATGACCGTTTCTCTGCTCTGCGACGTTTAGTTCCACCATCTGCATACTGCGAGTTTGTACTTTCTTACTGTTTCAATGTACCATCTTTGTTCTATAATTTCTTACCCATGACGGTTGATTGTTTCTAAGACGGGCAATTTATATTCACTTCAGCACAGTCACTTGAAATATTATAGCAAAATATTATAGATGTAAACCAATTTATATTATCTAGTGAATTACCCATTTTGACCATTTAGAGAAATATTGATATTGGATTTTGTTAGTAATATTGATGTTAGGATTAATGTTAACTTTTAATACTTTGTTACCTATTGTCTAGAGATTATATGTATACCTATTTATCGTCTAATGGCTACAGTAGGTACCCCGTAGTATTAGATATTGGTGCCTACTACCAGTACTGTTAATTACTACTTGCAATCTCGTTTCCAACACGGTGCGATTGGACTGGCGGGGCGACGTGGCCTATTGCCATCATCTAGATCTTGAGGTATTGTGGCCAATGTATTCTTTGGGGCTATTTCAGACCTATTCAGCTTTGTTTGGAATCACCGCCCCCGCACTGTCCTATTAACTTAAAGATTGTTAAAGGATACATTTGGATAGTAATATGATGGAAGCAAGACCTGCAGTTGTACGATCATAGGAAAGTTGAGATTCTTCTTGCAGCCTCACAGATACATTTGCCCCGGCTGCTACGGGTTTCATGCCGCGTCGCCTGAGCGGTGCGAACGGCCTAACCTAAGTCTACGAAGTGAGAAACGGTCACATACCGATGTAGAATTGTATATAACTAGATAATAAAATTATTACTAGTGAATTATTGGCACGATCTAGTACCTGCTGACTAGAAGGTATGATAGAGATAGAGTCGTAAGAGTTGGCCGGCCATTTCTAAATGTTTGAATTTTGCAATAAAAATGAATATTAGGCCTGTTATAAAATGTGTTGTGCAATGTATCATATCATGTACCGTCGCCAAGATTGCTATGCGAACAACCAAAATATGAAATTCCATTTCGAGTTGCATAAAAGCGGTGTGCTAAGAAGGCCAACTCGCGAGCGATGTAAAGCGGGTAATATGGGCTGGATTGAGAATCGGGAACACCAGAGAGCCCAATGATGGAACGTAGGCTTAGGAACATACAGGGTGTTACCACCTTCTCAGGAACTTCTAATTATTTGAATCCTTCAATTTACACATTATTTTCTTTCCACCTCACAAATTTTATTGATCTCAATTAGTTAAGCTTCAAATATTTACTGCACCGTGTCTATGTTACTCGATAAACATTATTCAATAATATAATCGATGTTAGTAGTAGTACTAATACATAATGATAACCACATTTATTATTGGAGGCTTGAAGGAAAGAAATGGTTTAGCGCTCATCGCGTTTGGTTGTTGAAATGTTTAATGATATTATTTGTTATATATTTATATGTATAGTATAATAATTCTGTACGAACGGCAGCACATCAAACTATACACTAAAATCTTACAAGGTTCTAATAAGAGGCAATTTTGCATTAAAAAATATATGGTCTGAAGTGCTGGCGACTGTACACAAAGTAAAGGAGAGGATTGTAGCACTCTGTAGTTAAATAGCACTGTATCAAAGTATGCACAGATTAAAACGACTGTTACTCTTACTATACTATATTATACGACATGCAAACTGTTGTTTGTCTGAGGTACAATACATTATAACAATTGTATCTTACACGTTGGTTTATATTATGAAACGTGTGTCGATGTTTGGTGAATCTTGCGAGTCTTTCCATAGCGAATGAAATATAATACTGATCTCTTAATATTCATGGCAACCGTAGTGAGTCACGCGATAATCACGGGGCCAATTTCTACATTTTTTCACTAAAATTCAGATGTGTTTTCCAAAAAAATGTATTTCCTTTATGCGTCACATTCCGAGCTAAGGACCCCTACCTAACCGGTTTTGACCCCTGGTTTCCTGTCTCTTTCGTTCACAATGGATAAAAGAGAGAGGTTCTTCAATTTTCTCCCCTCGCCATAACATTCGGCACGGACAGACAGCGGTGGGTCGTCACCTTTCGTCAAAACACGTATAATATAATACAAATCGATGTCTTACAGCACCTATGTGTTGCTTTTATAGACAAAACTGACAATTATTATTATTAATACACATTAGACTGTGTGCTGGGATTACGCTGAATAAATATACGCAAATATAACTCACTACACCAATCAATGTTTCATTTCAAATATATGTTTGTTTGTGATTGTTTCCAATATATGTAACCCTGTTATGTTATACTAAATCTAAGTAGGTACCAAAGAAAGGGCCGGGTAAGTGAAGAACTAAGCAATTCCTATTAACTTAATACTAAGAAAAACTATTCAACAAAACTTGCCTCAAAATAAAATCTATTTTAAGGAATCCTAGTCGTTGTGCCTATAGACATAGACTACCATAATGAACTTTGTACTTTATTTCGCCTAATCTCAGCAAGGTTGAAGTTTCTAGAGATATAGACAAAATAGTTATTCTGACGTTTATACAATTAAATTTAAGGATGTANAAGGATGTACCTACTATATTCTCGTATATGGGTAGCAAACGGTTACGTATGCAAAGGTGCTGGGTTTCGATCGCTTTTCGTTCGTATGATGCAGTAGGAGCTTTAAATAGGAGCAAAATCACGTAGATAGTATTCGGTTTATCACATCTACCATGCATTTAGAGTAACACTAATCTATTAACGAACTCGATCATCCGAATGTTAGTATTGTTAACAATACAAAATGGAGCATTCGTTACATTAATGCGCTGCGCTGTGCAACGTTCATCTGGGCGTAAGTATGCATTAATACGAACTAGTATAGGCTGTTGCCTATACTAAAATCCTTGATGTGTTCATCAAGGATAACACCAACACTTTATGTAGATGTAAAAGATGCGATTTTGCAACTAAAATATGTTCGCAACTGATGTGATGTCGCTGTACATTACACGCATATTCGTATACGAGTCTTTTAGTGACCTTGACATTGGCTAGGCGTCGTAGTATCTAAATGAACGTATATTTAAAAATATCATATACGAAACTTAACATAAATATATGAATGAATAACAAAAATCCTTCATATTTTCACAAAACAGCAAGGTAACCTACCTTTTAAAAAATAAGAAAAGGTGTACGTCCCGGCACAACAATGCTTTGTTAATAATATGCTACAGCGCTACGAGAGTCTACGCCGTAGAGTGAACGTCGTAGCACATGTAAGTATTGCTAAGCTGATTAAAAATGAAATTGCAATATCTGATACAATAAATTAGCTTTTCCTTAAAAGGGAAGCATTATATCTTTCTTCAGCTTCAATTAGGATACAGAAGTGTGGGTGTATCTACAACTACTAAACAATCATGACATTTTGCTTCGTAGTCGTACTATTCGTGTAGATTGTAGCATAAAATACAAAAGCCCTTCATGTGTGAAAAATCGCGGCGCTTACTTGAAAATAAGTTAATATCTTTATCCTATGTCTATAACATCGCTTCGCCTTCGTGCATACTAAAATTTAATGCAGAATTACATCAGTGAATTCACTATTAGAACATAAAGTAGTGGAACCGAAGGTTTGCGTAATATAAATACTCCAGTACAATTATTCACGGTTAAAGCAATCACCCACGACGTACTAATTATTTATTACTGCTTTCATATAATATTTACATGTATTCATCCTTGTCCTCATTGACCCTTGATTTGCAGAAGTAGGTCACGTATAAAGTATGATAGCTCATTAATATGCAGTAAATACACGTAAGTATTGCTGCTGGCGGTGGCAACACTGTAATAAATTACAACTGGCAACCTATAAAAATAAAGATACACGCAGACTCGATTTACTGTCAACTGCATCATCTCTAATCAAAATAAGAGTAGACGCACACCGTTGAATTTTCGTCGGCCGATAGTTTAGTCGGGCAGTTGATCAGTATGGGCATGTATGGGAGTGCGCACACTACGCCGATTCGATTTGGCCGATTCTTCATACAATTTAAAACCGGGCACAACAGATTTTACCCATCATAACCATAAAATCCCTGCAGACTTTCAGATTCAGATACCAATGTGCGCACTTTCATAACCGATCCCGGACTCCTCCAGTGACCAATGAATCCTAAATCTACATTCCATTGTAGCCAAGACACTAGGTGTTATACACACCTCTCAACTTAGAATCACCAATTTCTACCTGTAGTCAGCTCAGTCAGGACAGTGAGTTCGCTGTACAAGTTTCTGTTGTGTGGACAATCTCGGAAAATGCTCAGCTCACGTTGATACAGCCCGACCCAACTATCGGCCGACAAAGTCTGTACGAGTAGTCAGGTAAATGGGTATATGAATGAGCCGACACTAGCCCATGTTAACATGGGCATATAAATGGTATGGTGAAGTCAGAAAATTGATATCTTCATTTTAATGATTTTTATTTTCATACAAATCGGATTTTATAAAAATTATTTTGTATGAAAATTAAAAAAATTAAAATGGTGATATCAAATTTCTGACTTCACCATACCATTTATATGCCCGTGTTAACATGGGCTAGTGTCGGCTCATATACCCATTTACCTAACACCCTGTATAAGCTCAATGTGCGTAATTAAACCGATTTCGAATAATTAAAAAGTCTGTAGTCAAAAATCTTAAATCATAACTTATCTGCGTACTTGGTAATATTATTTAAAAGCACCGAAACCCAATGCTTTGTATACGGAACTATCGGTAAGTAGTTTTGCGATGACCGTCAGGTCGCAGGTTTGTCGTATGGTTGCTTTAATGTTCCCCAATGCCTTTTCGACCTGCAATAAACTTTTCAAAGTAAAACTGTGTGTTTTATTTATTAAATTACCTTATAAACCAGTTTACAAAAGAAACATTGGTAAATGGTACTAAAACAAGGCTAGTCAACCCCAGGCCAAAGAATTTTAACTGGCCCGCGCAAGTATGGTTTGATCTTATTAATTGAGTTTTTATTGGGCTTGTCCCGAGTTACTGAAATAGGAAATATAAGTGGCCCATCGTTAACGACTGAAATCGTTTGGCCTGACCCTTCAAAATGTTGAACAACCTTGTGGGTACTAAAATAAGTGGGTTCTAAGATCTGTTTAAGATAAGACTAAGATTTTAACAGCTGAAATAGGTAGACGTCATAAATAAGAAAAGGGATGACTTTAGAAATAAAATACGTTAAGTAAATTAATAAGCAAAAACTTTATTCCTCATAATAATAAGTTAATTATATTACAAATTCATCATAGAGTCACATTAAATATTAACTTTTTTACATACAAATCTACCACATGACCACACATTTACCACAACATACCAAGAATTGAAAATGAAATTGGCACGCTTTCCACTTTGTAATGATTTTTGGGTTGTATTCTGAATCTACCTACTCTCAAACTTCGATACAAAAAAACTCCCTAGATGTCTAAAATTTTAGAAAATAAACAAGATTAAAGGCTTAAATCTCTATAGTTTGAATAAAGTTTTGAGTTTCATCAACATATGAGCCTTAAGTCAATAGTCGTTAAATAATAAACAGAATGATAGACAAAATAAGAAGTTACTTCAGTTGTAGGCAAAAGCTAATAAACAAATACGGACCGACTCAATAGTCATGTCAAAGTTCAACCAAAAGAGCGACGAAAACATCTCAATATGCTTTGATGACCATATTAATTACTTTTATTAGCTAATTAGCAGAAGAAGTTCATCAAAATCTGTTCAGTTGTTTTAATGCAGAAGGACGAAGAGCCATCCTGACTTGTGTTGGCAATATCAGGAGTATTTGAATTTAAAAACTAAATAGGTACAAATGGAAAAACGTAATGGCATTGGCATGAAAATTGTGCTAATTTCAATATTCGAATTAAAACTGGCTTATTTGTATAAAGAGGTAGATACGTTACATGTCGAAGGATTTATCTTAGATTTTAGTGGCATAAGTACGAGGGTTTTTATTATAACATTACTATCCGTGTATAAAAGCAATGCCTAGAATAATTCAAACATAAATTAATCAACAATTAAAATATTAATTAGTACCTACTTGACAGTCGGAATGATAAAAATTACATTGGTTTAATCGTGTGAAAAAAGCTTAGTGAAATTATAGATTATACTTTGACGCAATCTTACATCAATTTTGTGCGCATTGTTTTTCGGTTAACATTTAATTTTTGACTTACGTAATTTCAACAATTGAGGCTGTGGTCTCTTATAAATCCCATAGGCCGCATCACAAGCTTTCTATAGAAATTTACATTTGTTGTCTCCTTCAGACGTTGACGTCGGTGTTCAGTAGCCTTATTCACGTAACAAAACTTCAACGACAACAAAACACTGAGTTGCGATCCTATCGAGTAATCGTTCTATCAAAATGACCCTTGTGAGTACGGATTTAGAACTGTTTTTCAATGGGACGACGTAACAAAACATCAATGAAAACAAATCGCTGAGTTGCGATCCTATCGAGTAATCGTTCTATCGAAATGACCCTTGTGAATACGGATTTAGAACTGTTTTTAATGGATCGACTTCTAAACGTCAGCGAGATCTTGAATGTCAAAATACGTGAATTAGGCCACAGACGTCTTTATAGGAACGTTTGACGCTGACGTCTGACGTCACGTGTAGCGTTTACTTACAGGAGACCGTAGCCTAACAGACACGTTCAAGGCAACTGACAGTCTTAACGGTAAGTTCTAAAACGTACTATTTACATATAGTTTAATAGCGCCATTTTAACACTAAGTACTTTGTATATCACTACTTGGATGAAAATTCGTTGTTATGCCCGATGGTGATCAAAGTTATACATACACCATGTGAAATGTAATTAAATGATAAATAAGTCACGTCGCTCGCAAATCACGTCGATAGTGTGCCAGGGGCATAACAATTCATAATAACATTCTACAAAATCGTCGACCCTTAAAAATAGCGTAACATTCCATAAATGCGTAACCGTTAAAACTGAGTAATAGATTACCTGAAGGCATTGCTTTTGTATTGGTCGTAAATCTCGTTGAACATGTCCCGGCAGTTCATCTTAATCTTCATTTTGGAGCACAGTAGGAAGACACCTGACAGTTTTCTGTGCAAAGAGTATATTTCTTCTGGCGGCGGGCATAGTCTATGGGTGAGGATCGTGGGGACCAAAGCCTGGATGCGTCTGGTGGTCTTTTGGGCGCCGAAGTCGAATTCGCCGTCGCCTTCGCTCGTGAACACTTCGCCCATAATCATGACAGTGTCCACGTGGGTCTCTTCCATTATCTATGAAAGTATTGAGAGGTAAGAATTAGACCATTGAAAATAAAATTGTTTATTATTTTGAATCTTAACACAAGGCAATAATGTTCCAAATAATCCACCACTGGACAAAGGCTTCCCCCAAGGATTTCCTGTTCCAGGGATGTCTTATTATATTTATTATTACTTAGATTTAAATCTATTCAAGCCTTACCTTAGACTCGTATCCAGTGAGGAACTTCATCTCCTTGGACATCCGCAAGATGGCGGCGCGGTCGCCCTCCGACGCCGCCTTGATGATCTCGATGTACTGGTCCATGAACTCCTTGGAGTACTCGCGGGTAGCGCCGAAGTCTAGGAGGATCACCTGGATGAGAGGTTAGGTTAGTCGAATGTTGCAAGCGCAGTATTTAATTTTATATTGATTCGTTGTCGTCAGTGCACTCACTACGGCAATACAAATCACCGACTGTTTTGTGACTGAGCCCGTAAGCGACAACGCACATTGGGCGACAATCGCGGCGACTAGAAGCTAATATAAGAAATTAACAAGTATTAAGCGCGTATTGAAAGTTGTTAATACCCTAGACATAAACATAAAGTTACAAAGCAACAACCACGAGCTGTCAATGGACACAGTTTTCGGATGACACTGGATGTCATTTATGTGTCAGTGTTAGGGATTCTTTCACTAATAATATAATTATTCATTGAACCAGTCACCACGTTTCTGAAGCATTATTTCTCATAAACATCCATCATCATTTATTTCCATTATTTCACGTAAAATCTGAAAAAATCTCAGAGCTCATAATTTTCAACGTGCCAATAGTGCCAACGTGCAAAAAACGGTACTGTTTGACGTGACGCTGACGGCATCATGTTTCACTTTTTATCACAGTGTTAGTGTGCTGCTAGTGACATCTCGCTCGCTCAGTTCTTTGTTGCTCTATTCCGCTAGGTTTATTAACTTTATGAACATAAAACATATTGGTGGCGTTACACACCTGTTTCGTGCTGGTGTTGTAGAAGAAGTTGGCCCAGTTGGGGTCAGTCTGCATGCATCGCAGCACAAACATCTCGCGGAGACACAGCCGCATGATCTTGGCGGCGATGTCGAGACGTGTCTCGTACGGCGCGTCGAATAGCTTGTCGAGCGGCGTGCCATCTATCAGCTCAGTCGTCATCACTTCGGGCGCGCAGAGGTCGTCTGGAAATAGTTTAAGTTGGGAAGACAAATGTTAAAGGAAATAAAATTATCTATATAGTCTGATCTGAGAGCACGTAGAATTGTGTCCAATGACCCCAAGCTACCCATCCTTATCGCTCGCGCGTAATTATGTTACTATCGCGCTCGCACACTCACTGCGCGCGCCCGTCGCACAGTCACGATAGCAAAATAATTATGCGCGAGCGATAAGGATAGGTAGCTTGGGGTCATTGGACAAAATTCTACGTGCTCACAGACCGGGCTTTAGTATAGATAGTGTCATCATTGCTCGAGGAAAGCGCGGGGTGCGAGAAGTTTGGTCCGAACGTCAGTCGCGAAATTGTTGTAGTGTGCGTGTGAACTCATGGATAATTAGCATGTACCGATAACGATTAGGACGAATGGCGGGGCGCGTCTTCGTGGATAGCACTATCGATAGTTAATCTTAGTACATATTTTCAAAGACTTGTTAGGATTCCTACGCAAACTATAGTTAAAAATTCGTATCAATTTTTCGAGTTTGAAATAGGTATTTTTTGTTTCGAGTCAAAATTGTTACATATACGCCTTTTCTATGCCTACCTTTAAAGTTAGTCGTATGGGCAGGGGCGTAGCTACTAAGGAGCAAGGCGGGGCAGTGCCCTGGGGGCCCCCGAACCCTTACCAGAAAATCTCAATTGAACTGAACTTTGAAAATTTCTCCCATTTCCAAAATAAATAGAGAGAAATTTGCAAGCTGTATCAGGAGTATGTCAGCTTAATGTCAATAAATTTGATAAAACCTAACCAGTTGAGATTGCAGTGGGTTCCCATTTTTTTATTTGCCCCAGGGCCCTTGGTTACCTAGCTACGCCACTGCGAATGGGTACTCGTCGGGACACTGCCTTAGGCCGCTCTGGTTCTCTGCCTCAATATTAAGACGATGGCATTATGATGCTTAGGGGGCGTCCATTAATTACGTGAGACTTTTAGGGGGGGGGGAGGGGGTCCAGAAAAACCTCACTTAATCTCACGTGGGGGAGTGGGGGGTGTCGAGAAATATCACGTAATTTTTTTCCACAACAAACAGAGTAAATCCTCCGTCTGCATTTGTGAACACAGGCACGGTAATACTATCTATACAGTATTCCAACTCGGCCATATTTTTGAAATAAATGTCAACAGCCGCGCGGTACGTCACGCTATGACAACATGCGATAGGGCTGCCCACCTGCAGACCCTATCACTACATCTGCCTACTTAGAATTTCTATCTAGTTTGGTGAATGTATTTTGTGATTGTAATTTTTTTTTTATTTTGACAAAATACTTTGTGAATGAAATAAGATAAAAATGCATGGTTGTCTTGTCATTAGTAGATTTAACTAAAAAATATATTTGTGTTAAGATTTAGTAACAAATAAACGTAAAATGAATGCACCTCGACTGAGGCGTACAAAATGCTTGATTCATTAAACAGGATGTTAGGTAAATGGGTTTATAAGCAGACACTAGCCCATGTCTGCGATCGCGATCGAACGTCGAGTCTTTCGTCATCGTAGTGCGCACTCGCTAAAATAATATTTTGTATATCTGAAAGTGTTGTGAATGCTTATACTAAAACGTTTGTTTTTATTTGTATAGAGAACAATAGTGTCTAGACAAACCTAAAAAGGATTTAGGACGCTATTTGGATCAAATATGTAATTGCTCAATAATGAATAATAAATAAAATAAATAAATAAATAAATGTTAACGTGTCCATATAAATGGTATAGTGAAATCAGAAAATTGATATCATCATTAATAATTTTAATTTTCATAAAAATTTGATTTTATAAATTTTATTTTGTATGAAAATTAAAAAAAAATGATAATATCACTGACTTCACCATACCATATATTATGCATATGTTAACATGTGCTAGTGTCGGCTTATAAACCCATTTACCTAACACCCTGTATAAATAGGTGACTTGTAATTATTTTTATAAAAAAAGAGCGCTTACTGTTTAAAAACAACACATTGTCATTGTTTATTACTGTGGCACATTCGCGACACCCCCGACTTTTGCATGTCGAGCGCATACTGAGATTTGAATTTCGAAGGAAAGCTCGCGTTTCGTCCGTTTATATGAAGTTACAATACTGTATGATATTATTACCGTGACACAGGCCCAGTTTTTAGATCCGCAGTCGAATTGTTAAAAATTGTACTGAAAGTACAAAAAAACTGGGCCTAAATTGTTTTGTTTTATCATTTCACTTATTTTTTTACGCAGGTCAGGTTTTTTATAAAATCTAATAATTTCGAAGCATGGATTATCTCATTTACATTGCAAATAGGCACTTTGGAAAAACTCACGTGAGATTAGGGGGTGGGGGAGGGGGTCTGGCAAAATCTCATGAAATCTCACCAAGGGGGGCGGGGGGGTTAAAAAATAGCCAAAACTGTCTCACATAATTAATGGACACCCCCTTATTACCTATGACTTCAGGCACGAAGTACTCCGGGTATGGCGACAGTAGGGTCTTGAACTTCTTGGTGCACTGCGCCTCTCTCACGTAGTCGACCTCCCACGCTAGTTCTTTCTTCGCCACTTCCACTATGTTGTCTATGAACATGCCTTTTGGGAATACATTCCACACCTGCAGAAGATCGTACATATTTAAAATATGGCTATGAATATACAAATTAGGGATGTTGCGAATATTCGCATCCGCATCCGCATATGCGGAACATTCGCATTGATTTTGACATTCGCATCCGCATCCGCATCCGCATAAATCGACGAGGATCTGATGCGGATGCGGATTTGTAGCAGGTCGCGACAAGAAAGAAAGGGGCAGTCCCGGCGAGTGGCGCGCGTCAACCGAATGTGTTGATTGACCAATAGGAAAGCAATGATTTTTGTTTTTGGACCTCAGTGAATCGGTGACGGTGGCGCGTCTTGCTATTGTTTTGTTGTAATTAGTGAGTAGTTGTGACAAGTGACAAGAACTGAAGCGTACGTTTGATTTTATTGTGGATTTTGTTAAGAACTGAACTAACTGTATTGTTTAACGTAATACGTAATACCTTCATTCGTATTACGAACCTTAAGTAAAGTTTTATTTACTATTTGGATAAGTGAACTATGCCAACACCTACGCAAAGTGAAATTTGGACGTATTTCAAACCTGTGGACAACGACCGGGAGAAATCGCAATGTAAAATATGTAACAAAACATATTCGCGAAAGGGCCGAACAACATCGTCATTAATAAATCAAAATCATTTGAAATCAATGCACGCTAAGGAGTTTGCTTTGTTTGAAAAAGCAAATAACGAAAAGCTACAGAAAATAAAAAATGATGCCGGTAAGTTATATTTTATGCAATATTTTTTTTGTTGAGTCGGGCGTTTATTATTGTCTGACATCGCTGATTTATCCTTATGATATTATAGTAGTTTTGGGTAATTATATAGGTAGTTATTTAAAAACTTGTAATTTCTTTAATAAGGGCCGTTCCTACGAGTTGCGTAAAACTGAATTTTGAATCCAAAATCTTAGATTTGTCATATGAACTAAAATTTAGCTAAAAGTGTAGTTTAAGACAGTTTTTCAAATTTAATTATTAAGTTATATAATAATTACTAAAAGTAATTCATTCTCTACTTTATTATTAAATAAAAAATGATAAATAAGGCTGTGTTTCTTTCTCTACTAAGCCAACACTTAAGTTTTTTGTACAGATCCGCATCCGCATCCGCATCCGCGGATGTGAGCCTCTTAAAATCCGCATCCGCATCCGCATCCGCGGATGTGGAAAAAAGTGGATCCGCAACATCCCTAATACAAATAAACAAAAAATATGGTAACAGACTTTCTTTATGAGATGGTCAGGTTCAATGAGGGTTTTCGCGATTGAAAAATACGCCAGATGGCAATACGTAGACGGGAGGTCCAAATGCTGCATGATTGGTGGATTTTGACATATCTGTCAATGTCATGTCAAAAATAACCAATCATGCAGCATTTGGACCTCGATCTACGTATTGCCATCTGGCGGATTTTTCAATCGCGAAAACCCTCATTAAAAATATGGCTGTTGGACAGTCAATACAATATGTTGTGTAATTGGTAAATGTTTCGGAGATCGAAGATAAAGGTCTAAGTTTTTGAGTGGTTGAATATCAATAGACCAATGATCGAGATTGAATCCACATTAGCGTTCGCTCCGTCCGCAGTTGATGGACGGATTTTGATTGGGATCGATTATGGTAAGCGAGTGATAAAGGTGGTTTCTTAATACGGATTAAAGTCAAATACTATAAAATAGGCTCAGATATGTTAAAACCAACCTTCATAACTCCGACAAGATTGTCAATGTCGCTGTTGATGCCTTTGGCCACTCCTGGATACTGCACCTTCATAGCCACTTCTTGACCGTTGTGCAATATCGCTAAGTGCACTTGACCTAATGAAAAACAGCAAAACATTAGAATAATTTAAAAAATATATAATTCTACAATAGGCCAGTTAACACCAACAGTCAATTCACAAAATTTCTATGAGCTGAAAAACGCAGTTCCACCATAGATTTAGCATTTCCAAGAGCATCTATAACGTCATTTATTCGCCAATGCAATGCAATTTGCAATGCTGACAGCAGCGACGACATAATGTAAACAGTTTACATTGCTTGCGTAGTACTAAAGATTATTCGAAAGTTGAGTACTGATAACGCAGTGGATAATGAGCACATATTTTGATTACTTTGTGTGCGTGAATTTCTTATGCGACACTGAGTTTCGAACTCAGCGCATTAGTTGGTATCTCTCTATATCTCTATGGTTACAACCAATCCGACCATAAATTATTATTATAGCTTTATATTCCACATTTTTACAGTTTGATTAAATTAATCTGTATCTCTTGCTTGTGGCCCCACTTGGGTAAAAGCCTCCTCCATCTTTTTCCACCTTTCCCTGTCGCTGGCTATGTGCATCCAATTTTTCCCTGCCTTGTTTGTTATGTCATCGGCCCATCTTTTCTTCGGCCGTCCTACGTTTCTTTTGCCTTTTGGGCCTTGCCATTTTGTTGTTTGATAGGTCCACCTCTTATCTTTATATCTTGCCAAATGACCTGCCCAGTTCCACTTCTGTTTTAGGCTAAATTTAAGAGCATCTGATAATTTAGTTTTCATACGGATGTCTGTGTTTCTAGTCTTTTGTATTCTTCTTAGTTTTAAGATACTTCTCTCCATTGCGTGTTGACAAGAGGAGATTTTGTTTTTTACTCTTTCCGTAAAGACCCATGTCTGGCTAGCATAAGTTAGGCTTGGGAGAATGCAGGAATCCATTATTGTCTTTTTTATATTTAAGTTATAATTCCCTTTTAAGATTTCTTTTTGTGCCCAGTATTTCTTCCATGTTACACCTATTCGTCTGTCTAGTTCGTTTTCGTTGCTGTTTGTATCGAATGACACCAATTTGCCTAGGTATACATAGTCATCTACATATTCTATAGGTTTTTCCTCTATTTTTATTGTTTTCCTAGGACTGTTTGACATGATTTTAGTTTTAGAAGCGTTCATGTGTAAGCCGATTTTTATACTTTCATAGTTCACACTTTGCAACATTTTCTCTAAGTCTGTAGCTGATTCACTGAATAGAACTATGTCATCTGCAAACCTTAGGTGTGTCAATTTATTATTATCTATCCATATGCCTCTATTTTTCCAATCAATATTCTTGAAAATGTCCTCCAGCACAGCTATGAACAGTTTAGGAGAGAGCGGCTGTATTTATTCCTAGAATTCCCCAAACACCGTCAAATTACCCTTTCGAATTCAAGACAGTGCAGTTTCCCATCAGTCTGCTTCGTAATGACTATAAACAAAGCTCAAAGTCAAACTCTAGGGACCTCTGCTTAAACTCCCATGAGTGCACAGAGGTACGCAGGTAACCGCGTGTGATGCTTATAGCAATTTTCGATAGGTACAGAACCCCGTACATACGTCATACATATTATAGAAAGAAAACACCCAGACCAATACAAACAAATATGTTTCTGCAATTTTAGTATGATATTTTTATTTATTAATAAACAAAGAGACTGAACAAAATTGATGCGTACCTATACTGATTAATGTTATTAACCACATGCAAAGCTTCGTGAATTGCAACAACTATAATTAAATTTATTATCCAAGCTCTAAATAATCGCTACTAAGAGTAACTTATCATAAAAAAAATCCAATCGCTCAAGCTCCCAAGGGCCTACCGATAGGTCGGGTGACGTAATCTTGAAATTCTTTAAGCCGGCGCAGAACTTCCAGAAGGTCGGGCGACGCCACGGCCACTTTGAACAGTGTTTACTTCTGCAGTTATATTTTATATTTATTCGATTCTAGAATATATTCCCAAAAAGTCTGAAAGGTGTTTTAATTTGTATCACTTGGATATGATTTCTATTAGAAAGTGTTGTGAGTGTGACGCTTGAAAGGAAGGAAGTCAACCTAACCTAACCAACTGCGTATTTCTATACTGTGTAGCTGGAAATTGTGGCGGGAGCTCTTTGACGCGCTGTTTTCGGCGAAGAATTGCGCGCGCAGATTTTGACAGCGCGAAATACCTACTTTAGAAGAAATACCAAGCCTTAAGATTTCTTTTTGTGCCCAAACGAACTAGACAGACGAATAGGTATAACATGGAAGAATTACTGGGCACAAAAAGAAATCCGACCATAAATAGCAGGTCATAAAAAGCTTTTATTTGTAAAATTCAGTATCCCTCACCAATAGAAGCGGCTGCGAACGGCTTCTCCTCAAAGTGCTGCATCCTGGAGCGCCAGTCGGGTCCCAGCTGCGAGCTCATCACTTTCTCCACCTGCCACGTGGGCATGAAGTCGGCCGACTGCCGCACGCGCTCGAATATGCGCTGGAGTTCGGGGGATATCATCGATTCGTCCTGGATGCTGAGCAATTGACCCAGTTTGAGCGCGGCACCTGGAAAAGACAAGATTTGCAGTCGTACTTATTGCCACAACTACGTCTTGTTAATCCAACTAACCACTAAATGCGAAAGTTTGGATGTCTGGATGTTTGTTACTCTTTCACGCAAAAACTACTGAACGGATTTTGTTGAAACTTTACAGTATTATTGTTTGTAACCCAGATTAATATAGGCTATAATTTATGCCAATCTGTGATACTAAATTTCAGGCGGGTGAAGCCGTGGTCAAAAGCTAGTAAAAGATAGTGCGAAGGGAATATTTGGGAGTTAAGTATATACTATTGTTGTAAATCTCGAAATATATCATTAAAAGGTTACTTCTAATGTATGATTGGGTGCAGTTTGCATAAATAAATGAATTAGAGTCGCATTAAAAAGTTTAAATAATAAAAACCTACCTCTAACTTTGCATAGGGTGTCGACAATCCTCTCAGCGTTGGCAGGGGACATAAAAGTGTTGGCAGATTCGTCCACCTTGCCAGTCACAGACTGGATAGTGTTCCTGGCGTACTGGGCCACCGTGCCCACACCCAGCCCCGCGGCGAGGGAACCAAACGATATCATGCGTCCGATGCGGGATGAAGGCACCACGCGAGCTTTCGAGTTTTCACTCAACTATAAACACAAGATAATTTTCATTATATTAAGCCAGTACCACAGAATAATAATAAGTACTATGTACAGAAGTTTTACTTCGCGAAGGTATTTAAAAAAATGTATGCTCAATGTCATTTATAATATGGTGTAATTTAGCCTTTTTTTTTTTTTTTTTTTACCCAGGAAAATGGCCTATCCATACCTACCGCCGGGGGACGGCAGGTTATGTGGGGCTCGAACCCACTAAAAACCTGGGGTGTTCCCTCTGCCGCATGCCTGTCTCAAGAGTCAAGCACCATTTTGTTGACAAACGTCAGTGATCGGCACTACGCCGAAGCTATAGGGCTGACTTCGGTAAAATGATGTGACGTGAGGTGCCAAACTGCGGAAAATGGCGGAGGAAATACCTGATTTAGCATGAATTATCATGAATAATATTAACTACTTATTTACCTCTCAGTGTCTTCAGGCAACTTAAAAAAGTACATTCTGTGTTTTTATTATTATTTAGGCAATTAAATACTGCACAGTATTTAGTACACCATTTTCTTTATTTTCTTCCATCATACACAAGAATACGCGTGCGTGAGTCAATGTTTGCTCGTATGTGAGGCCTTGTCGAATAGTATCATGTAGGTGGGCCATCGTGCGTGTTTTGTTTTCGATGTAAACTTGCGGAGATGAACAGGCCTGCCAGTACTTGAAGATTAAAAAAAAAATTACAAGTAACTTACAGAAACTCTTATCTTCTTTTTAGCAACTGGCTTCGGCACACCAGTTGGTGTTGAACCGCTAACTGCTTCTACTATCTTCGGAGTCTGCACTTCAACCGGTGGAGGCGGTGGTGGTACTGTTTGCTGCACAGTACTGGTCATTTGTAGCTTCTCCAATGGTGCTAGATATTCTTCTGACACTGGTTTCACATCTTTTGGAGCTGCACCTTTGATATCTTGTGACTTCTTCAGACTTTCAAATGTCTTGTTAAACTCTCTGTTTAGTTCATCAATCTCTTCTTTCATCTCTTTATCCATTTCGGTAACCTTCTCAGCATCATTAAAGTTAGGAACATGCATGACGGCATATTGTCTAAAGCCATGTGCGACAACCAAGGCCCGCTCTAGCAATTCCTTGGCATCTTCAGGCTTTGGTTTATAAACAGTTAGTGTGTTAGGCGTGCAGTTTTGTAATACTGTTTTTATGCTGGAGTTATTCCATATTACCTTTGAATTTTCCTGCTGTACCTTTATACCTGCCTCAACCACTAGCCGCAGCCCACGCATGACACCTATCAGATCGTTAATATGCGACATTGCCTGAAATACATAGATTAGTTTGTTATCATTCAATACATATGTGAATTAACAATTATTTTATAAGCATGAGTTAAAAGGTAAGTAGAGTTAAAAATAAATGATGACTAGATTCTATGATTTTTAGCCTTGATATTTTCTATAGTGTTATGATCTTATAACTCATAATATTTTTTTTTTAATCTTAATATGATGTCATTCTGTAGGAAGTACCTATGTAGACACCCACAAACGCTTCACACATTTATTCTGCAATTTTTAAGAGTTACTCACTCATGTCGTGATTATTGCATAACATTACTGTAGAAGGTAAACATGTTTTTTTCAACAGAGATTAGAAAGATATTCAGCAGGAAAGCAGAATTAGAAATAAAAGTACATAGATTAGGATAGTCAAGTGAAAATAATAATTTTGTAGGAATATATCACAAGACAAACTTTCTTAGAAACTTTGCAAGAAGAACATCAACTTACTTTTAGGTTATAATATTTGTTAATTTTGTACAACAATAGCAACGCAAAGAACACTATAAACACGAACTTATTTACAGAAGCTCTGAAGGAAATTATATTGAATTTACTGTTTTTATCAATGAAAATTTAAATTTCGTGATTATTTTTGAGCAGATGATCACCGTCAATAATCAAATACTGTCAAGTGTCAACTGTCAACCTGACACTCACATTAATGACATTACATTCAGTATATACAACATGTTCCGAATCTTAGCCGAATCAATTTTGCGTTGATTTACTATAGATTTTAATTTACTCATGGACCTATAAAAAAAGTCGGACGGATTCTCATCAACAAAATACTGTGACATTAGGATACACCAGCTTGCCTGTACGTACAGGCCGGCACGCACACATTCACACCCTGATACACCACTTCGAGTGCAAACTTCACACAGTTGACACATTTAGGCGGCGAAAAAACAACACGAATACGACATGTCTTGTGTGATGAAATTGTGTAAAAACCGTTCTGTTCGAACAAACAAAAATTTACGGAATCACATTTCACAAGTAAAATAATAATCCAATCACTTATTTCCCGACATTAAAATATTGAAATTAATTGAAATCAAACGTCATTCACTCGAAAAAATAATACGTCAAAGACCAGTGTTCTCAGTTATTTACGTGGGAAAATTACCCGAAATATGGGAAATTAATAATAATTTTAGGACTTTTTAGTTATTTATTACGCATACTATAGAAATAAAATAATTTATCATAATTATTGTGTTTTAATGGGATATATTTTCATAGGCAGATTTGATCCTTCCTAAAAATGTGGAACTGCGAAATTCAAATTTTCTTACATTGATTGCAAGTCAGTGTCAGGTTGTATGTTAAAATCTTTCAGAGATAATAATAATAATATATTGATGATGCATAAGATTATGATTATAATGTACACAAGATTCGTAATTTGTAACTGCGTGAATCATTTTTGATCATCATTATGTACATAAGTACCCTGACACACTGACTTGCAAACAATGTAAGAAAATTTGAACATTGAAAATTTCGCGCCTACCTTTCATCCTTTTCAAATTCTGTCTACATTTCCAAGTAACATCTGCCGATCTATGTTTTTCTTAAAATAAATGGGTAAAATGTTTTGGCTAACATGGCATCCCTAAATTCACTCACACAATAGACAGACGCCAAAATTTTGCGTCACAGTTTTGTTGTAGCGCGAGTTCCGTCCGCCTTTTTTTATAGGTCCATGAATTTACTATAGATTTTAATTTAAGTAACCATGTAGAAAAAAAATATCTTATAAAATAAATAATCGCTATGTCGCTGATTACCTAGCTAGCAGAAAAAATGCTCCCACTTTTCTCCGTACTTCGTAGGAATTCTGTCTGGAAAAATAATCTCTTCTCTTCTCTGGCCAAACAAAAAATGCTAGATTTTGATAAAACTAACAAAAATGATTTTTATTTCATTACTTAGTACCTACTTATCTGTAGTCCAGTCATTATAGTAAGTTCACCTCGGAATTCGAGATACCCAGCTGTAAGTCTGTAAATACGTGTATATTGACACCCTAAAAGTTGTCTCAAAACCTACATATGGTAGGGTGTAAGGTAAGCAACTATTAAATTTCAAGGTCAACGGTCACAAAAATCGGTTTTTGCGCTTTTTTTAGAAATATCTCATTTCCTATGGGTTTTTTGCTATTTGTATTTATTATCAATATTGTAGAATACTAAATTCTCTACAAATTTTGTTTAAAAATTTTTTTATACGGTGAACCGTTTTCGAAATAGAGGGCGGAGAGCGCGCGGTCACTGCATCACTTCAGGTCAACTTAAGCGGTTTAGATTTTTCATACAAAAGGATTTTCCCGCTAATTCCCGTGGGAATTTCGGGAATTCCTTGTTGTTTACTTTTACTAAGGTACCTACATGCCAAATTTCAAGCGTCTAACTTCCGTTAAGCGTTTAGATTTTTCATACAAAAGGATTTTCCCGCTAATTATTCCTGTTCCCGTGGGAATTCCTAAGTATACTATAACCTGCCCAGGAGTATGAAGAATAATTGTACCAAGTTTCGTTAAAATCCGTCGAGTAGTTTTTGTTTCTATAAGGAACATACAGACGAACAGACAGACAGACAAATATTTTACTGATTGCATTTTTGGCATCAGTATCGATCACTAATCACCCCCCGATAGTTATTTTGAAAATATTTTCATGTACAGAATTGACCTCTACAGATTTATTATTATAAGTACTAGCGGCCGCCCTCTATCTCGAAAACGGTTCACCGTATAAAAACATTTTTTGAACAAAATTTGTAGAGAATTTTGTATTCTACAATATTGATAATAAATACAAATAGCAAAAAACCCATAGGAAATGAGATATTTCCAAAAAAAGCGATTTTTGTGACCTTTGACCTTAAAATTTAATAGTTGCTTACACCCTACCATATGTAGGTTTTGAGACAACTTTCAGGGTGTCAATATACAAGTATTTACAGACTTACAGCTGGGTATCTCGAATTCCGAGATTCTTACCTAATTTAAGCTTAAATGACTGGACTACTGTGCTTAGTACTTTAATAAAACCGCCTAGGTGGCCTCTGTGGTCTTTAATCCAATCGCTTCAGAGCCGGAGGTCCCGGGTTCGATTGACAGTGGGGGCAGATTTTTTGTTCGGTTTGTTTGGTGGTAGGGCTCGTTCTAAGGCGGTTTTCACACTGCGCCGCGCTCCGCCGCGGAGCGCGTGATTTTCATAAAATATAAAAAATCACGAGCGCGGACGCGTTGTCAGTGTGAAGTGCCGCGCGTGTTTTCTATACAAACTGAGGTAGGTACTTGCATACAATGATTAAATCTGTCGCCCCGCGCTCCGCGGCGGAGCGCGGCGCAGTGTGATAACCGCCTTACTCTGCCTGACTAAAGATAGGAAGCCAGTTTCTAGTTTCTTTGTGGTTGAGAATTTCAGGTGAAGCTCGCTTCCACCTTCGGCCTGATCATCACGTCCATCAGGTGAGAACGGTGAGATACAGGCCAAAGCTTTCACGTTGTGGTTTATGAAAAAGTTTAAAAATTGAGAGAACAAATCGAAGGGCTCAGTTGCAGAAGTCTTTTAAGTCCACTTATGGACTTTATCATCTGCTGAAGCCAACCATAGGCGTACCCAGGAGGACTAGGCAACTACCACCGAACTGGAAATCGCTTTGAAGGAGGTAGTCAAAAGTACAGTGACGTTTAATTTTATAGAAATATCATTGAAGATCTTTATTTTTGTTTCAACATGGCATTGACATGGTTTTTGGACTTATGAACTTCTGCAACTGGCTGGGCTCTTCAAATATGAGTATTTTACTAATTTGTTTTGGAAACTAAAAGAATTTGGACGACATAACTTGACGCACTAAGTAGCTCAGCACTAATTTGCTTTTGTCGCGGGTTCCATCGCCGATTCCTCGTACGACGTACACAAACAACCTACCTACATAAACACTCGTATAAGATTTTTCAGTAGATTGGACATTTTTTTTAATTATCTTAGATGCCTACAAATTATTAATAGGTACTTAGTTGCCATTAACCATTCGTAGAAAGTGGACTCACCACGTCCACAATCCAACATACTTATGTCGTTATACATTTTCCTTTCTTTTGATTTATCAAGTTTGTTAGAGAGAAATTGACTCTTAAAGATCGATAGAATAAAAGTACAGGGTGTCATTTTAACAGACGAAGTGTTTTCTTTCTATAAATAAAACACCTAATATTTTCTTTGAGTTACATTTTATATCTACAGTATTATTATAAGAGTACTTTCCCTTCAGGTGGCATTACAAAATTCCACCCTGAATACTTATCATCGATCGGAAACATGTAAGTAAAACAAAAAAAAACAGTGTAGCAAAACGAAATGATAGACAGAACAAGTTAAAACGCAGTTTAGTAGTTTTCTTTAAACTATTAATACGAGAAAATAACAGTACTTATTCCAAATAATATAAAGGACCTACCTTTGAATGCATTTTCAAATCAACTCAAAAAACTTTTCATAGGAAGAGCTGCTCACACAGTTCGTTAGCCCGTTAAAAAAAACTGTTCGGAAGTTTTCGAAGATAATAAAAATTACAAAGTTAAAAGAATCTGTCTGTATTTATAATCTACCTATCTCTGTATTTACCCATATGTATTAGAGATTCTTTAATAAAATACAAAATACGAATTATTTAAAAATTAATTGTGATACCAGTGTCGCCCTCTTTGTTGGTTTTTACAGTGCCCCACGGGGTATCATTAAGTGTGCAAGGTACAAAAGTTTTATTGTATTACTATTATTCGAATTTTTCTAACCGTAAAAACCATCCTTAGACTTCAATGAACATTTAAAAAAAAGAATTGGTAAAATTAGTCCAGGCGTTGTTGAATTATGCGCTTACCAACACATTTTGCGATTCATTTCGGTATTATAGATTTACCGCTGGACAAGCAAATAATTAAATAAATAAACAGTAGTCCATCGGACGACGGGATTCGAACCCACGTTCCACGGATTTCGATTCAGCCAGCCCGACTCTTACAATAGCGGTTGTCGGCCGTTTGGTGTAGTGGTTCGTAAACGGACTATACCGAGATTGCGGGTTCGAATCCCACACAGTACAAACATGAAATATTTGTTTTTATTGGTTTTCTATCTATAATATGTACCTATCTGTTTACAAAACAAAAGGATTTTGTTTATATTAGTTGTCTAGAACCCATACCCCAATTATGTGGGTTGGGTATTTATATTTAATTTATTGTGTGTGGTGGTAATTTATACTGTGGTTTGGGTATTTATATTTAATTTATTAAAGCCCGAGATTCCATGGACTTTGTAAAAGTGTAAAAATACATTCGAGGAATGCTGGTTCAACCCCGCGTCGTCGGCTGCTGGACTATTTTAATGAGCCCACTCCTAACACCAACAAGCAACTCAAAAAAGACAATACATAAATGTTACAAAGAAATAAATGTTAAGGTAGAGATACAAGAACGCGAAAGGTCCTTTTTAAAAGCCTATTTGCAGAAAATAAAGGTTTGGTAATGTAAACCTATAGAAGTTATTAACAAACAAACATAAATCAATTAATGACAAAAACAATCCCGAAAAAGTCATAAACTTCAG